TTCCTATTTTCAAACATAAATGAAATTGTGTCTTCCAAACTTCAAAATTTACACAAAGTAATACTTTAGCTAGTGAGTTGTGCAGCTTCCATATTATCCGTTTAACTCGTTTCATTATTTTGCCTTTCAACGCCTATGAAAATGTAGAACAACCGAAATGGCACTACTTTAGAATATTAGAGAACGCTTCAATGCGCTAGAAGGAAACAGTCCAACACAGTGGCCATATTGTAAACTCGAAAAATAGTACATCCCTTCAATTCACGAAATAATTAATACATCAAGCTGTAAAGCACTTGAGAGGACAGCAGAGAATAATACCAACAACTGTCGGTGTCATAAACCGATACTTAAGCTGGTCATAAAGCGTTTAAGTTAAGCCTCATGGAAATTAAATAAATTGCCTGATTATGATTATTTTACAGCTTTTCACTCCGTTATGCTTTGAAAACAATGCCAAATATAACAAAAAGAAGACAAAATAAGAATTTGCCAAAAGCCGGCATTACTGGATGTGTTGGCGAAGGAGTAATAGGCGAAAGAATAATATCGAGGGTGAATAATACAGACTGTGATAAGCAAATGCAGTACAAGGGTCTGGATTGGGCATGCGAGTACATACAAGTATTATACCAATTCCGTTTGCAAGGCAACACTTTAGGGCACTCGACGACACGCATCCATTAAAATTGTTTACTTATTCGCCACTAGGGAACAATCTGCTTTATGAAAGGATGAAGTTAAGAGTTTGCTGACCTCTATTTGGGTACAAGTTTAAATACTTGAAATTCGTGTGAGCGTCAGCTCCTTTCTTGTACTCCGTTGTTGTTCAATTAAGTAATTGATTTAAGCTATTAATGCTTTTGACCGTTAACCCCCAGCTAATGCCATGCCTCCAACATGGTGGTCTCACTCTTGAGAGTCCCGAAGCTTTGGATGTTTTGTATTCTCTGAAACTTGGCTTTGTTTTAAGTTTTCATAAAATATTCAAACCAAATGAGTTCTTTGTGTGGAGCTGTCGTTTGCCTGTGGCCAACTCTTTGGCTGCTGGCAAACGCACATCCGCTTCCGCTTAAGTATATCAATTCAGCGAGCGAAACATTCAAAGCGACGCGCTCACTTATAGACATACCGACAGCTTTTTAAAATTTAACCTTTCAGCGAAAGGCTCTGCCACCAGATTTTCAGCACCATCGCCACCGCACTGTGGTCAAGTTGCAAAAAATAGATAATTAATGTCAAGTGGGTACATAATAAAAAAATTGCAATTGCATTTAATAAATAACTCAGGCCTCAATTGCATTTACATGGCATGTATGACCACTGCACTCTTCAAATTTATTTATTAATTTAAGTTAGTTATTTATTAATTTTAGTTAGTTATTAATTTAAGTTTTCTATTTAAAAATTTTGTTGTTGATTATTAAATATAATTAATATTTATATAACTCACTGAATCTCCCTCACTGTAAACCAAATAGAAACAACTGAACTCCGCTATCATACTACCAGTGGGCAATTGCATGGTCCTTCTGGTTAATGGTTAAAAATCGATTCGGTGCCAGTTGTAGAAGTTACTTCGTAGCATACGAAGTATAGTAGAGTCTTCTCAGCACCGTCTTCTTAAATGTCTACACTTTCAGACTCACCTTGGATATCTCACTTTCTTCTATCGTAGACACATGAGATCCAATTAAAAACGTTTTACAATTTCGCAACGTGGTACTTTAAGTAAAATTCCATTCTTGAGCATCTAATCTAAACCCCCTTTTTATAATATTTAAATCGTAAGAATGAAAATCAAGATTGTATAACTTTAGGTAAAAGTTGAAAATCTTAGAAAAATGCTATTCATAAGCATAAATATATACAGTCCCCTTGGTAAAACTTACAAATCTGTGTGTTTTTTCATCGGCGAATTCAATAAATTTGTTCACAACATCTGCAGTTGGAAAAAACTATAAATAAAATGTTAGCAAAGTTGATTAACTATTTATTTAATTTCAAAAACGTTTTTTTACAAAATCTTTTTCACATGAAGTTCGTGATACGAATTTTTCATACGCGTCAAGTTAAAAATACATGATTAATTCACGCGAAGTTTACGATAAACTGTTTAAAAGATTATTTCACTTTATTTTATTTCAAAACAAGTAAGGAAGGGCTAAGTTCGGGTGTCACCGAACATTTTATACTCTTGCATGATAAAGTGATAATCAAGATTTCAGGCGTGGTTGTGAACCGATTTCACCCATATTTGGTACATGTCATCACGGTGTTAAGAAAATATTATATACCGAATTTTATTGAAATCTGTTGAGTACTTCCTGAGATATGGTTTTTGGTCCCATTTTCAATTTAAAAAAAAAAAAAACACCTGGATGCAGCTTCCTTCTGACATTTCTTCCGGAAAATTTAGTGTTTCTGACGTTTTTTGTTAGTCGGTTAACGCACTTTTAGTGATTTTCAACATAACCTTTGTATGGGAGGTGGGCGTGGTTATT